TTTCTGAAAGTGATTAGAAAGTGAGGTTTGCAAACTTAGTGTCCTTTAAAAGTCTCTGCCACGGTTGTAAGCAAGATGGCTAATGCTATGGTCTCCCAGCACTCCAACCCGGGGAAAACCACTGTCCTCCCTCGCAAGGAGCGGCTGTCCAGAGCACATGTGGGCAATCTCCTGTCCTCTCTTTATCTGGAGAGGTTCCAAGGAACCGGCCTATTCACAGATTCCTTGGCATTTGTCGCAGCCATCAGCTCAGCTTTCAAGAGCTATCTTTAGTTTGCCATACCTTCCCCAGAAGTCCTCTCCCCTGCACTGATGATGTTACCTAGTCTGGTAATGAAATGTCTGTAATAAAACAACCAAGCTCAGCAGACACCAAGAATCCAGCAGTTCAACTTTGAGCTACATATATATTTTCTACTGTTAGATTCAGTTATTTTTCAGATTTCAGATCCCATCATACAGGGCATTATTTACATTATAAGCTTCAAATATTAATATAACCTCTCAGCCAGATATACCCTCCCAAGGATCTTGGATGAATGTGAAAATGTTCTCCCACCTAATGTTTAGTTGAGGTTCAGTTTCTCCCAAATTAAGCTCTTGGATATGTCCAGGAACAGGTTTAGTGTACTCTGATAACCTGAAAACAAAATCTGGAGAATTGTATACACAGATATTGTACAGTGATAACTGTACTGCAGATGTGACCCATACAGAACAAAGTAAGAAAATATTACATAGAGTTCTTAACAAAATTAAGAGCAAGCAGGACAAAATAAAAAATTGTGCCATTCTGTTCTTGAGCTGCATTGCTGAGTAATCTCAGCAATTTCACTTATTTAATACTTCAAAAAGAAGCAAAAAGCAGCAAAATACACTATGCATAATATCAAATAGCCTATCACATAATGAGCAATTATGTGTTATGAAAACATAAGGCAAGAAAGAAACTTCCAGTTCATGAAAGGTGGTTCCGGTTCTGTACACTGAGCAGTGTCTCACATAGGTCTTATGCAATTTAGTTTTAGGTAAGTTTTATTAACATCACATGGGATTTCATCTATGGCAGGTCAGGCAATGAGCTGAATGTGGAGCCAAGCTCCTATACTGCATCCAAGAATGTGAGGTCCAAGTCTGTCTTGCTAGCATTGATTGACTGATTTGCAGGTGGGGGAAGAGAAAATGTAAGTGCTGAGAACTCTAAGAGGAACTAAGTACAGCTTCAAAGTTCATTGGATTTCAGCATCAGGTTTTTCTTAATTCTAAACCATTTAATTGAAACAAAATATATCCAGTGAAGTGGCAGTTTGAAGAAACTTAACTTCTCCAGCCAGGGGTCTATTAGCTTGTTGTTCTGCATACCATTTTAATCCATTGATGTTGCTCTGCTAGTGATGCTTGCAATTCACTTATTTTGCCTAGGAAGTGTAGTGGCTGGCAACCTTTTGGATTCCACCACTACAAACTCCCTACCTTCCTGCTTATAAACAAACTTTTTGCCTATGATGACATTTTTAAGGCAGTCCTAGCTTGCTATTCTGAAAACTGGCTGAAGGGAGCTCTTTTGAGTCTATACTGTCTCTTTGGCACCATATGCTTATAATCCCAGCATGGTGCAAGCCAGTGCTATGTTGGCAGATGCCTCCTTGACTTTTAATGAGGCATGAAACCAACAACCAGCCTACCTCACAGTACTTTCCTCTAGTGGCTGTAATCTTTTCTTCTCCCACTGCAACAGAAATGCTTGGGTTGTGACATATGCATGCCAGGCAGATTTTCTTTAAGGCTGTTTGCTTGCTGCTCTCTTTTGCCTCCCTCTCCCCCCACAACTAATCATTTTAGAAGAGGAGTTTCTGATTAAACCAAGCTTATTATTTGTGTAGCAGTCTGCTAAATTTACACAGAACAAGACAGGAGGAGATTGCAGTGAAGAGGGCAGGATCCACTCTCCATTGTTGCCACACTTCATTTAGAAAGTAGAAGAGCAATTGCAAGAAATTCTCATGCTTGACTTATGCTGCTGCTGCTGCTGCTGCTGCTGCTGCTGCCGCCGCCGCCGCCACTGCTTCTCCACTTCCTTCTGCTCTGAACTGCTTTTGTGTCTCTGACGGCTCCTCCCACAGGATTGGTAGCCCCTCTCTGGCCCCACTTGTCCCTTAATAAAGTGAGAGTATATGGAGAAAAGGAGCAATCCAGGTGAGCATGCTGAGAGGCAGCTGGAGCCATGGATAATAAAGATGATGCTTGATTAGTTAAAGTTGAGGTTGGCCTCCATGGATTTTAGTCTTGCGCTCAGATAATCATCATCTTCATAGAGTACAAATCCTCCAGCTGAAACTGCTGCTGTGGTCTCTGGTTATGACTACTGTATAATACAATTCAAAACTAGCACCTGTGTTTGTAACCAGGCAGCTTGTTCTCAGTGCAGATGGCTCTCTTGCAAGCCATTGGAGAATATAGTTCTCATTGTTACAGGGATCCTGGATGTATACTCCCTGAATTTTGGTAGCAGCCTCTCTTTTCTCACTTTTGAACATCTGTCCTAATCAGGTTTTGTTTGTCTCAAAATTAATGACAGCTGCAAATACAGTTTCACCTTTTGAAAGCCAGGAAATGGGTTGCTACAGTCAGCAGGCCAGTAGTTCCCAAACAATGTCTAGAGAGCATTACAAATTTCAGATGGAAACCCTGAGGTCTTGTGAAATGTGGTGGTCTCATTTGGCCCTTAATTGAAAATGAATAAATATGTTTTCATTTAATTATGGGGTCCTGTAGACCAAGGGTGCCATGATACCCAGGCATTGGATTGCTGACTCCTGGTTTTGGCCACCTCCGTGAGGGTGGTGGTCCCAAGATCTTCAAGATGCCAGACACAGCATTGCAATCAAAACCTCACCTCTTTAGTACATGAGGCAACATCACACACACACACACACAGAAGTGGTGGAGCTTCTATGATTCTTGCAGATTTTGACACACACCCCCGGACATCTCTGTCTGTTTTGTAGTGCTTGAGAGTTTTAGAAGATGATGTAGCAGTCTGCAAAAAGGGAGAAAGATTGAAAATAACTGCACTAGGTAACTCTGTGAGATAGTTCTTCAGTATCCCAATGTATTTAGTCGTTTAGTCATTTCGATGCTCACCTTCCATTTCCTTTTATAAGGAAATGGAGGCTTATTTATTTTTTGCCACATATAGACAGATGTGCCATCACTCTACACGGCCATCTCTTCTAGGCTTTGTTTTGTGGGCTTTACTTCTCATGCCCAGCAGATGTAGAGTTGGTGGGATGTTGTGGCACTGTAGTGGGAAGTATGATGCCTTTTGTGTGGATTTGTGGGTTTGTATTTGTTTTTCATTTTTATGGAACATTCCTGTAAGCCACTTAGGATTATCATGTATAAGATAGACAGCTGTATATGTTTTTGAAATAAAAACAGATAAACAAACAGGAATGGGGTAGTCTGAAGGAATGCAGGTATCTTTTTTCCTTGGATTGAGGGCAAAAAGAAAGAAAGCTAAGCTGGTTTGCTTTGTAGAGGAAAGATGTCTCACCCCAAAGGTTAAAGATGTTTTGAGTTTGACCAAAGCGTAGTGGGCAATATGGGGCATATTTGCTTACATGAGAAAAGTTATAATAATGTAATTAATGTGGGGTTATTTTCTTTTTACTCACTTTTAATGGTCTTAGCAATAGATTGGAAAGATGGCAAAAAGCACAAGTATGGACGCCTGTCTGAACCACCTTCTCAGTACCAAGGTATGAATGTTTCTGTGTCCTTTTTTTCTTTGTTGGAAAATTAGGATGTCATTCTTCAAAAGAGGGAATGACAAGTAGATGAAATGATCTCATTTAAAGTGGCCACAAGCTGCCTTGTACTTACTTACTTAATTTATTAGAATTAATTCTAGCTCCAGTTTCAGGCAGAGGTTTTCCTTAGCTCTTTTAAATGAGTTCAGGAAGAGATGCCAGGGACCTCTGAGCCTTTATAGAGCAGATGTTTCGATCTGAAGAATCTTGGTCTCTGTGCTGATAAAGAAATCATGATCATGGCAGTCTGTTCTGGGCAAGCAGTTTGCGAAAATGCAGTGTGTATCTGCAATAAGGATGCATATAGCTAACGCACACATGTGCAATATCTCTGATGGACTCAGAACCCAGTCTACCTACAGTGGGGCAAAAAAGTATTTAGTCAGCCACCAATTGTGCAAGTTCTCCCACTTAAAAAG